TATCATTCTTTCAACAGGCAACTGAATATCCTTGTGACATAGTGGTACATAGCAAAGGAGAAAGAAGACTGCACCAACGGGTAGTGCCTACTGTGTTGAGCTCAGCAAATGTAGAACGCAAAGGCNAGATGTTCGGCGCTTGTGTCCAGACATATCATTCTTTCAACAGGCAACTGAATATCCTTGTGACATAGTGGTACATAGCAAAGGAGAAAGAAGACTGCACCAACGGGTAGTGCCTACTGTGTTGAGCTCAGCAAATGTAGAACGCAAAGGCTTAGGAATGACAAAGGTAAGTTGTGTCATCTAACTTGACCAAGTTTAAGATATCTTAATATAAAAACTGGTATGTTCATATACATACTTATGTTTTCTTCTTTCAATGCGTGCTGAAGTAGCAGGTAAACTGCAATCAGTCAATTGTAGTAGCTATTCATATAGACCTAACATTAGTCAATTTGTATACGTATATATATATATATATAGATAAATCTCATAACGAAGCGTTCCAATGAAAACTACGCGGCAATGGAAGAAGGACAAGAAGCACACTGGGAAGTAGTGCAACGCATACTCTTCCTTTATGCTAAGTTAAACCCCGGACAAGGATATGTTCAAGGCATGAATGAGATTGTAGGTCCAATATATTATATTATGGCCTCTGATCCCGATCTGGAATACAGAAGTATGTTAAATTTGTTTTTCAACTTTTATAAACTAAGCAAATATATGCATACATACATATGTATGTATTAATACCTAGAACATGCGGAGGCTGACTGCTTTTTCTGCTTCACCGCATTAATGAGCGAAATTCGTGACTTTTTCATTAAAACACTCGATGATTCGGAAGGTGGTATTAAATTTATGATGGCGAAATTGGCTAAGATGTTGAATGATAAAGATCCTGAAGTGTATTTTAAATTAAAAGAGCAAGAACTACATCCGCAATACTACAGTTTTAGGTAAAATAGTACACTTAATTTAAATAATGATAACAATTATGTATTTTATATTTTACAACATATTTTAGGTGGATAACTCTACTGCTATCACAAGAATTCCCACTACCAGACGTGGTTCGCATATGGGATTCCGTTTTTGCAGATGAGCACCGATTCGAATTTTTGATAAGAATATGCTGTGCAATGATTTTGTAAGTTCTAAACCCTTTGGCTTGACTTGTCTATTTAAATGCATACTCCCCTAACTACTTCATCATAAAAATTACATTTTGTATTTCCCATTTCAGAATTCAAAGAGAAGTAATTCTCCAGAACGACTTTGCATCAAACGTTAAACTGCTACAAAACTATCCACCTATTGATATTAATGTAGTCCTGTCGCATGCGGTTTCGTTGCAAGGATAGCCGTTTCCATTAATTCTTCAAATAAGAATGCACACCCCAGCCAATTTTTATACTCTCTTATAAAGATCAATATTTAGAGTTAATACAAAAATAAATTTTTTTATCCTCTAAGTATTAATTATAATTTTTTTTACGCAAGTAAACAAAAGTATTGTCTTTTGTATGTATCTGCAAACATATTCGAATATGTAATTTGCTCGAAATGTTCTATCTTCTAATAAAATATTTGTATTGCATATTCCAAAAATGCTCTAGTTATTTTGGGTTATTCTGGATGGCTGACCGCCCCACATAGACCAATAGGTCCCTAGTGATGCTAGATGGTGATAGAGGTTTAGTTAAGTTTATTCGAAGTATACATCATGTAGGATGTCAACGCTTTTTGAGAAATTCAGCAGTGCGTGAAGCCTAAGTGTTGTCACGTCTTCAAGATGATTAAACTCTGGAGTTCCGAGATATTTCAATCGTGTTTTTGATACAGCAGGACAATGGCATAGGATGTGTTCTAGGGTCTCCCTTGTTCCCGTCCCCATGCATTTCCTGCAAACTTCACTGGCAGCAATCCCCATTTTGCTTGCGTGCGCTGCCAACATGTTATGTCCTGTTAGGACACGTATCACAGTTCTGCAGTTTATTCGAGCCAGCGATCGTATAAACCGGGTTTGTATCCCGTTTTCCAGTCTGCACATGACTAAAGATTTTGCAGGTGGTTAACGCATTTCATCTCGATATAGTCTGCTTTTTCACCCCCTGGTCTATTTCGTTATAAAGATTTTTTAGCTGTTTCGGAATGTTATTCTCTTGTTCTAAAACCAAGTGGATTCCGTTCTTTGCAATCTCATCTACAATTTCGTTACCTAATGCCTTTGTGGCCGGGGACCCAATAAATATGCAGTTATTTTCAGCCATTGAGTAGGCTTGCTCAGCGGCTTTTCTCAGTGCGAAAACCTCTGCCTGAAATATACTGCAGTGTTCCGGCAGCTTGATGGCCGGCGAACATTAAGTCCTGAACAGTACACTCCCGCTCCTACTCCATTATTCATTTTTGAGACGTCTGTGACGATGCTGAATGTCTTCCGGCTAGGCTTCATGCCTCTACACCATCCGTTTTTTCGATAGTAACCCGGAACTGCTTATCCCAGTTGTAGCAAGGTACCATGTAGTCCGTGGTAGCTACATGCCCTTTGGCTATTGAGCTGTGGCCAGCAAGGCTCTTTGCCGCAAGGTCGATATGTGTTATATTCAGCCCAATTCTGCATTTTGATTACGTTCCCGCATTCCGCGCCACAACAATCGTAAGTTGGTATACTGAGTTACGATCGAATCGAAAGAAGAGCGAAAACATCTTTGAAATCAGCAATCGAAACGCACCCACCAGGATCATGGGCAACTCCTGCAGCTCGCCAGACATAACAATCGTCAGCGCTGATATGATAGACAGCATATCATGGCGACCTATGCTGACCTTAGCATCAGACCATCTACCCATAGTCATCTCGATCGATAAACCTGCCGACTTTGCATCCGCGGCACACCGAACCTACATATATCAACTTTACCAAAGCTGATTGGAAAGGCTTCGCGGAATTTGCTGCCCTCCCCACACCAACAGACGTTCACTTGGACTTGCGTAATATCCGCAAGATTGTCACTGCTGCTGCAGCTCGCTTCGTACCAGAAGAATGTATAACGGACCCCGTCCGAACTTTCCTGCTGAAGCGGCTGTTCTAGCCGATGAGTGTGACAAACTTCGTCAAGCCGATCCCGGAAATCCCCGCATCAGGGATCTCAATGCGGAGATTCGGCAGCTAGTGAACGTACACAAGCGGAAGAAGTGGGAAGAGCATCAAAAGACTTGCAACTTCACCTCTGGTGTGAGCACGCTTTGGTCAACCGTGAGGTCACTGTCCATTCCGACAAAGCGCGACGAGAGTTGAAATATCTTTCGGCAAAAACGCTTCATCGGATCCAGAGCGATGCGCGCGGTATTTAGCCGGCAGTTTACACTGCATCCACCGGCGGCTGCACAAACTGCCAACAACAAGTGTGCCTCTTGTTTTCACTTGCGGTGAAGTTCAGGTAGCCGAAGTATGTATAAGTGTTGGTTAGAACCATTGTGAATTAAGGTAAAGCTTTTGAATTTGTTAGGTACATATCGCTGCAGCATGAGCCGGGCACGAAAGGAGACTACCGAACGTAACACTTAGGGCCTAGGATATTATTTCATAGACATCTACTTGTGCTTGAAGTGGCCTTAATCCTTAATTAGAGCGAGTTTAAACACGCTTCCACAAATATTTTTTCTAGCACAAAACAACAAAATACTGGGGACTGTACCCCAACTTTATCCATTCACTAGAAAATATTACGAACAGACATATTAAACAAAAAATTTGCATTTGTTAATAGAAAAACAGTACGATCACAAATAAATTTTTGGAAAAAAACTCAAACATCGCCCAGTCCTTACTCAGGTCGTCTTCGTCGCCTTAGTCATCGTGTCATCTTCGTCTACTTCTTGGGATTCAATTTTGGGGCTGTGTCCTTACATATGGTTTGAGCAATAAACTCAATCAAAGTGCGAGTTGGTCGCCCGGCCATGCCTTTGCGAATGTATTCGAAGGCCTCACCGTCGGTCACCATAACGTTAGTAGCGTCCTGAATATAAAAAAGCACGCACTTGTTTAGGAACTTAGTTTACAAACTCTGAAAGCTCTTACAATATGCATCCATTGTCCACAAGGGACAAATTCTCGCAAAAACGCGGCCGCCTTGCACGGACGACCCCCGCGTCCGATCCCGTAATTTTGCACATCGGTTGCATTACTGCTCGTCACTAGTTTGGTGTAGTAGTTCCACAATGGCAGGCGCCATACCCGGTCACCGGTGTGCATGCTGGCGTGTTTGATCTGCTGCCAAAGAATTTCCGAGTTAGTGAAGATGCCGCACGCAGCCTCATCCAGAGCTTGTCGCATCTGCCCCGAGGGTGTGCCTATGTCCACGATGAATTTGGGGCAGAAATTTTGGGCGTACAGAAGCGCATCGGCCAGCACCAGCACATCCTCGTGATCTGTGCCCTGAATTTCGATAACCTTTCCATTCATGGCTTTTGTGCAGTCGCCGGGTCGGAAGGAGTTGCAGCCAATAACATTTTCGCACAACGGAATCAAACCCCGAATATTCACCTAGTTTTTCAAATGAAATCGTTTATAGATTGTTAAAACAGTATCTACCTAATCAATCACTGCTTACCGGTAAACGCAATCCGGCAATGGCCCTACAGGCAGCTACTACCACCGCCGCTCCTGTCATGTCGCCTCGCATATGGTATAATTCCTGTATCTGCTTCAAGCAAAGTCCACCACAATCGTAGGTAATACCTTGTCCCACCAGTACGATTGGTCGCTCTTCAGCTGAAGTACCATAGTAGCTCAGCTCCAAAAATATCGGCGGCTCACAAGAGGCCTTGCCCACCGACAAGAATGCGTGCATTGATTGCGACTCTGCCCAGCCCTCAACCTTCACCTCCACATTCACACCCGACTTACATAGAACCTCGACTACGGTTTGTGCAAATGCTGTGGGCGTCAACAAGTTCGAGGGCATTTCCTGTAACTGGCGCGTTAAATTTTGAGCGGCCGCCTTTTGCAGCCCAATACGCCAACCTTCAATGTCGCATATCTCGTCCTTGTGCGTGTACAAATCAATGGAAGGAATGGCAATACGGCGCTTAGACTCCTTCAATTCTTGATACGCCCATATACCAAGTGCAGCACCCTCTGCGGCTGACTCAGCGTGGCCACAATTTTCAACTTCAATGCG